ATCTTAATTAGTTTACCCAGCCCACATGTTAAAAAAAGAAAAAAAATTATCAGTTTTCTTTTGATAGTTTCTTTGGGAGAGAAAAAGGAAAAACTTTAAGAAACGCTTGAAAAGAGGAAGAAAGGAAGAGATAGGACAAATCAATCTTAGAAATCATTGATTAAGGTATGATTTTGCTTAAAACCCTTGAAATTTTCATGTTTTATGCAATATTTTATAAACCTTAACCTATATTTTTATATCTTTTCAACTTTAAAAATATTACGATGACTTTTCGGTGACAATCCGATGAAATTGTGGATACCAATGGAAAGGTCTCTTCAAGATATTTCTAATGGTATGTGTGGCACTTCATTTAGTTTAGTAATTTAGGAGAATTTAGTGTTTCAAGTTTCTAATTTTTGGGTTTCTCGCAATTCAAATGCCTAAATTTGAAAAGCTAAAACTCTCTACTCCGATGGCTGATTTGGTCAAATGCTAGATGCTTTTGATAGTATGAAATGTGAAATTTTTAGCGATACAATTGGTTTGTTTAGATGATTTATAGGCTAAGAGAATCGAAGCCCCAAAGTAGGCTTCATGAATCTAAAACCCAAAAAATCTAAACTGTTTGTGATAATTTGTCAAGTTTTGGCCTTCGAAACATAGGCTTCTAGAAATCATTTTTGCCATAACAAAATTCTAAGTTGTAGTGTTACATTCCTAATTTAAATTCAAGCTTTTTTTGTCATTAAGAACTATAAGATGTTCAAGATTTTGTGGCTCAAAATAAGCTAAATGATCACAGAATGTAAAAATTTCAGAATTTAAAAATTTTTGTTTTTAATTATTTTAAAAATTGTTTCCAGCCACTATTTAATTTACTTAGTTATAAATTACATGAGTTTTAGTTATATTATTTTTAATGAACTTTTACTTATTTTAATATATTTTTGTGTTAATTTCATATTATTAATAATGTTAAATAGTTATTAAATTACATTCAGATTTACAAAAAAAATTGATTACTATTAAATGTTAAAAAATTAAATATTTCTAAAAATCTATATTACTACTAATTTTTACTTTTTAATTATTAATTTCGTTTTTATACTTAATTTTAGGCATTTTGCTATATTAAAAGAAAAATTGTTTTATATGATAAAAAAATATTTTCAAATAGCTTTGAATTGTCGAAAAGGCTGCCACACAACCTAATTTGCTTAAGATGACCCGTAGAAGGTTTGCCTTGTTAAATTTATATTTTTGGGTTAAATTTTGATTTTTAAATATTTCTTGAATTATCAAGATATTAAGAGAATTGAATGATTTGCCATTTAAGTTTCAGTTTAGCACATTAGGTAAATGACTTGATATCCTTTTGGTTTTTATATCCCCAGAAATTAGCCTCAACATGTTTAGAGTTTTAATATATAATATTTATTATTTTGTCCATTTGTTTTGTAAATCAGGTTGAGCATGCAAAATATATATATGATTTCTTTATTATGAGTTTGAAATATGGTTTGATATGGTTTTGATTTTTTAATATGATTTGATAGTAATATATTTATATATCCATCATTTATCAAAATATAAAATTTTGCTTCGGAATAATTATGGAATTTGTTTTCTATGGATTTCTTCAAGTTATAAATATTGAATTTACATATGTTAGGTAATCTAAAAATATTTTTTGATTTTTGTCTCCTAGTATGACTATGTTCTAATCTTATCAATGAGGGTTAATTGTTAGCCATGTTGACATGTATTTTGTGATATCAATACCGGTTTCGAACCGTGCCACCGATTAAGAATAGTGGTTTTTGTTCATCATGCCATCAATTGAGAATAGTGATTTTTGTTCACCATACCATCAGTAATACAAGATTACCCAAAGTATTTTTGAATCATTTAATTAATATTTTGGCCTAAATGTTTTTTAGCATGCTTAATTAACTGAGGGGATGTCGGTGTCTTATTGAGTCATCGTATTTATTCTTTTTTTTTTTACTTTTTTAGATTTTGGTATTTCTGTCTTGAGAAACTTAACCTTGACAACTATTTTAATTAGTAAGATTAGCATCTATTTTTAGTTTGGTATTACTTTCAAAGTGAGTATTTTATTATTAATTCTAAAAAATTTGTTAGTAAAAACTTTAGTATATTAAACCAACTTGCAAATAGTATAATTTTATAGACTTGTGGTTCTATAAAATATTATTTTGGAGATTATTTGAGATTTTGATTTAGTATGATATCTGTTGCCTTACATGCTTATGAGATTTGTCTCACGAGTATGTAGCGTTGTTTCATTTTAAATCTTCAGGTTTGAGGCCTGGCAATAAAATGCTTGAATAAGGATGAAAATAGAACATGTCCCATACAACGTTGGACACCAACAGAGGCTTTTGACATGAAAATTAATGTAGATGCTATAATAGATTCTCTAAAGTTTAATATGGTTGTTCGAGATGCAAAGGGACATGTCTTTTTAAATGCTGTAAGTCCACTACATGCAAAAATGAAAGCCATTCTATTTGGAATGGGTATGGCAAGGGGGAAAGGCTTTATGTCTTCACTAGTGGAAACTAATTCAAAGACAGCCATTCTTTGTGGGATAGAGGAGGGATAGTGATAAACATCTTGATGTTAGCATCACAACATAAAGAAAATGATATTGCCTTTGATAATAGGTTTGCGAATTCTATAGCACATAACGTAGCTAGAGTGACATGTCCTCTTAGACATCAGGTTATATGGGAAGGGTCTTTGCCTGACTATTTAACAAATGATGTTAATTTACCTTAATGAATGGGATGAATTTTAATAAAAAAAAAATGTACGTATAAGCTGAAAGACATTACTGTCCTTATGCTTCTCCCAACAGAAAATATCATAACAAGGTGCTCTAAATACGCCACATAATTTTCTCTATACATCTTCAAAATTTTTTTCAAAAAATACATACATACCAAATGTCAATTTTAACATTTAGTCAATGATAAAAATAGCCTTAATAACTTATACACCTCAAAATCACCTCGTATTTCTCAAAAATAGATTTTCAAGAGTTATATTGTATTTTCATAAATCTATTTTCGAGAAAAAAATATAATTCTTGAAAATAAATTACTAAAAACAAAATATAACTCTTGAAAATTCATTTCCAAGAATTTTTTGAGTTATTAAAAATAGGTTTTCGAGAGTTATCTCGTATTCTTGGAAATCCATTTTCGAAAATACATAAAAAAATTTTAAATATATATTTAATTATAAACTCTTGATAATGGAAAAACTAGGATATCTAATCTTTGGACCATTGAAAAATGTCATCAACAAACTGGCAAATATGACAGTAAGGATTAGAAGCGAAAAGATTAGATATTGTTAGATTTGATAGTCTACTGCTGACATTGTTAGTATCAATGTTTTATAGGATGTTCAAACTCTAACTAACAAGCATATACGTGAGTCATCGATGTACCCATTATTAACTAAATCTTATGTGCAAATGGAAAAGACATGTTAGTTCTCAAGCATACATGAGCATAAAAATGTTTTTGTCTTAAGCATAAAAAACCAAAAACTCTATTTTGCCCATGTAAAACCAAAAAACCAAAAAATGGTATTCTTGGTTTTCTAAATACTCAAAAGAAAGAATATGTTTATGCCATACATATTGGGAATATTGATTTCAATTTCATTCGCACTCATGATCAAGTAAATAGGTTCATAAGCACATGATTAAAATTTTTCAATGATTAAAAGTAAAATCGAGCTTCTTGAAAATAAAGATCCAAGAAATCTTAAATCTTCTCGGATATCTATTTCCAAGAACACTCAAGACTTCTCAAAAATTAATTCTTAAAATTTCTCGAATATCCATTTCCAAGAAGTTCAATTTCAAAAAATGAAAAGAGAAGTAGAAAGAAAGGGTAAGAATGAAAAATAAAAAGTGAGGATGCGGTATATTTAGTAAAAATAAGAAATTGAGTTTTAAATATGAGGTGTATTTAAAAGTAGGCTGTATATAACATTAAATAAGGTATAAATAGAACTCCCCTATTGAAATTTACCCTTCCCTTTGCAGTGATTGTTATTTCCTTCATCATCGGCCCCTAGAATCCTCCATGATTCCTTCTAGATTACTCCATGACAAGCATTGAGCACCCAAGATGTGTTTATTTATTGATTATTACAAATTTTGTTGTGCATGTTTAATTTTGATAGCAATTGAACATCACAAATATCCGTTATTAGGGGGAAAAAACTGAACAAAGCAAAACACCAGTCCCCATGTTCGTCAGCCAAATTGCTACGAATTTATCAATTGCACATGTAAGATGAATTTTTGGTCAATATTTGACAAATTGGTGAAATAATTGAGTTCCAAAGTATAATTCCAAAGTTTTTGTGGTTTGAAATGGTTCTATTTTTTTTATTTAATTTGATGATTCACTGACAATTAATGATGGATAGTAATTATGAGCTTTCTGTTGCAATTTCAAAAAAAAAAACCAAAGAAGCAGAAAGGGAAAAACAAAGGTTAGATTTTGAAATATCTTTACATTTTTTGTTTTTATTTTCACATAAACATAGATTTAAGGATAAATAGAGCGAGATTTTAGTGTTCAATCTTGTATCAAAATTTTACTTTTGCAAAAATTATAACTTTTATTTTTATTACTTAAAACAATATAAATATATAGTTATTAATATTGTCCGTTAAAAAATGTCATGCCAATGAGTTTGCATTAAATACCTTAGTTATGAAAATAAATTTAAACGTATGAGAATTAAGATTTTAAACTACATTGCTTAAGAATTATTATGAATTATATACGCAAAAATATTTATTTTTTACCACCATTAGGTATAAGTATTACCATTAAAACATAATTATTAATTATTACTATATGTAATGGAATTATAGTGGATTTGCTTTAAAACTAATACATCCAAGAACCAAGCAAGCGAAGCAATACCTTATATAACTGCTTAGTCATATCGCACTTAATACCATGTTGGAAAGTAGGCCATCGAGTCATACAGTCTTGAAATGTTTTGAATTTACAGTGTAACTAATAACTAGCCAAATTAGAGATTTACCTAGTGCTTTTGCCTGCATTCTTGTGTTGATTTGAAGTGCAGTCCCTTGCCCAGTGCCCAGGCTTACCGCATTTATAGCAAGTGCCAGATTTAATAGACTTTCCTCCAAACTCAGCAGGAGAATCAGATGAACAAGGAACATGACAGTCTTTCGCCCAATGCCCATCCTTTCCACATTTGAAGCATAGAGATCCAGTTCTTAAGGTATTGGTGTTGTTGCTTGGATCATACAAATTGGAGTAGGCTTTAGAAGCACTAACAGGAAGATCAGCAGATACATTTTGATCATTGCAATATTTTAACAAGCCACAAGAACTTCCCTACAAGCAAAGAAAAGCCTTAAGCCAGCATGTTAATCTTATTCTTAAAATGCCTATGCCAATAATAAAAAGCTACCTCAGGTACATTTTGGAGCCAAAGGTTGGGCCAACTCAAGCAGGGCTTATTGCAGATAAAAAGCTCAGTTCTTTAAAAAAGCTCAAGCAGGGTTAAGGACAAGCTGAAACAACCATGACTCCCCCCTGTTTCCTCTTACCACTCAATATCTCTCCTCCTTTAACACTGCTGCTTATTGGTTGGTATGATAGTAAATTCCTTGACATTGTTTGTTTATGGCAGAGGAAACAATCAACATTTTCTCACTTCATTGGATAGTCAGAAGTTTAGCACTGGTAAATTAACTACACTATTTGTATCAAACAACAAGAGACTATTTACAACAGAAATAAGGTACTGCCAAAGCTATGTTATTGCATTCTAGTATATCAAAAAGCAAATATATTAATTACCTCCTGTAGCCCATCTGAGCTCTACTCCCTTGCATTTCAGATTCTAGCAAGTAGTCTATTTGATTTGCATGTTTAATAAGAATGCAATCAAATTTGTCAACTTACATATGGATCATTCTGTTTCAACAGGTAGAAGGGTACCCTTCAGACTGGTCAACTCGGACATAAAACTTTTTTTTGGCCAACACATTTTACACTATTTAGTAATTACACCTAACTTAGAGAAAAGCAAATAGGTTCCTCATCAGTACCACAGTGGGACTCATGGAGGGGCTGGCTGGAACCACCCATTTGGGCACATCCCCAATATTCAAGACTGCTTGGCAATCCAATCATTACAAGGTTAGCGATTAGACAATATACTCACCACCAAGCTAAAATGGCATGTAAAAAAATTTTATGATTTTGGGAAGTCCTGCAAAGAAGTACCTTGGTAGCCATAGCCATATTCATGCTATTTGTTTGGGAAGAAGTGTCACACCAGAGAAAGAAACCACAGCCTCCATTTTCCTGCGTAAGAGGGCATTTATAGAACATGCGGCCGCGATTCCTATGAGTATTAGCAGTGAGAACCAAACAAGGACCGGACCCACACGGGCAACTCTTCTCTGGAACCACCGACCCACCAGCTGTAGAAGCAGCAACTCTGCTCTGCCGAGTAGCGTTGTTCTGAGTATTAAGGGGGGTAATTTGCTGCCAGAGACGGCTTCTGCTCCCTCTAAGAGCGGCAATGTAGGCTCCCTCGACGTCGTTTTGGTTGGGTTTGTGGCGCTTGGCTACGGATTCTTCTGCAGCCGCAACCGCTGATAGGAAGTCAACCTCCTCTCCTTCCGCTTCGATTATTCTCTTCATCTCTCTCTTGTTTTGAAATTTGATTTCCAACACTCTGCCCGCTTTCCTCTCGCTCCCTCTTTTGTTATTGAAACTTTCCCTCCTTTTCTCCTTCTAATTCCCCCGCTTCATTTTTTTTCCTTTTTTCTTTTTCTTAAATCTTTGGCATATTGCTCACATCAGTAAAAATATATTATTTGTGTCACATCAAAATTTTTAATTTTTAGATTTGAAAATAGAGCACGAAAAACTCGCACCATTAACTTATTTAAATGATTGTTAATAAATAAAATGAACACGTATACGACCCATAAGCTATTTAGAATTTTTTTTTTAAAAAAAAAGAGTTTAGCCAAAAGAAAAAGGCAAAAAATATATATTCTTTGAAACAAGAATTTTTTTTACTTTTTAATTTTGACATTTAAAATTATTTTACAATCATCAAAAAATAAAACAATAACTACAACTAAATTCAAATTTCACATAAGATGAATATAAAAAATATCACCTCAAATTCTTAAAAGAAATTAAATATAAATCTCAAAATAAAATAATAAATTATGATAAATGAGTACTAACTCTGTTAAATTAATTTTTGTTCAAATTTTTTTATCTTGTATCCAATATTAACATATCAATCCACTCCTAAAAGTAAAGAGCATCGACAATTTTTTTTTAACAAAAAAAAAATCTCTTTGGATTGAGAAAACGTTAGAAAAACAAAAAAATGAAGACTTCATTTAGATGGGTAGTGATATTGACTGTAGTAAAATTGAAAATAGTAATAAAAATTATTATAGTTGTTATTAAAAAACAAAGATTATTGTAACTGTGATTGAAAAAAAATTTTAATGAAAAATTTATACTGAATAAATCTCACTGAAATTAATATTTGAATTCAATTGAAGGTGTAGTGAATTCAATCGCACCGTACAAAAGGTGCAGTGAAATCCAAATGGGCTTAAAAAACTAATAATTGAATATTATTAAGAACACATCACAAAAAACTCCCCCAAAAAATAATGACTGCCATTTCTCATCTGTCTTTTGCTTTTCAAACTTCTTTCTTTCTCTTTTCTTTTTTATCCTTTTTTAATCAACATGAAACACACAAAACATAAAAAATCAAAATTAAAAACACACAAAAACACAAAAACATAAAAAGTAAGCGTTGGTGTACAAAAAGGATAATCAAAACTTAAAATACAAAGAGAAAGATAAATTGGTGTCGATTGCTATCTATAAACCTCCAAGCTAGCATTGCAATAGCTGGTGTACACACAAATTTCAAGACAAAAATTGGATTGGAAAAAATTAGAGTTAAATAATAGTTTTATTATCAAACTTGTGAAAAAAAGAAAATTGTGACTTTTTCAAAAAAAAAATCTATTTCAAAGGTTTAGTAGATTTGACCTTGAATGCTTTAAAAGTTTTGATGACTTGTTTTTTGAAAGCTTCAAAGGTCTTATTGACTTGATTTTGAAAAAAAATGAAATTGATCTCATTCCTTTAGGTGGCACAAGATCAAAAAGCAATTTTTTGACAATTCTTAAAACCCAAATGAAATGTTCTTTTAGTTCTTCAAAATTTCTTCAATTCTTTGGATCTTGATTCTTGAAACTTTAGAAAAGTTTTGGGTTTTCAAAATCTTTTCTCTTCAAAATTGTGAATTGTTACTTACAACTTAGAGGAGAACTCTATTTATGGTGCTAGGCTATTAGGTGAGAGAGAGTTTTAAGAGAACTCAACTTCTTAAATTTTATCTATAAATAGTTTTAGTTTAATTAGATATTAAAAAACTAATGACGCGTGAATGAAATTTAATTGAATGGGCCATAAATCCTTGAAATTGATAACAATAATAACAAATTAAGCTTTATATTCCATAATTCTGGGGTCGACTATATCAAAAGCCAAAAGAACAATCATGTTAAGTTATAGTTTCGAATTTTCTTGCACCACTCATTTCTATGAAAAACAATATTTTTATCTATTTCCTTAACCCTTATATCATTTTCTTATTACTTGTATTCACTTCTTTCATGGTCAACCAAATCCTTGAAATTTGATTGGTCAAATTTTGGATTTATCTCAAAATTATTTTAATTTAATTAAGAGATAAATGGGATGACTCATAGGTGAATTTTGATTAGCCACATAATAAATTTTTAATATTGATTGCTTACATTATAAGTTTTTGAATTCTGATTGGTCAAACCAAGTGTATTTATCTACAATTGTCAAGTGATATATTTAATTAATTAATTACATGATAAAATTAAATTATGTCATTAATTTCACATGGCGATAATTGATTATCATTTGAAAATTCTTGAGTTAATTAATTAAAGAAATTTTACTGGTAATTTGTAATTGGATAAAATTTTTCCCCCTTTATAGCTAGATTTGGCCTCATAACCCTCAATGACTACAACAAAAATCAAATTTGACTCCACAATGCTAGATTTGGAAAGGCCCCTAAAATGCATGGGTTAAGATGACTTTTGTACATGAGTTCACTTAGCAAAAACCTAATTGTGAGACCAAATCGACTAAGAAAAAGGAAAGTCAACCAAGTGTTCAATCTATTAAATAGACTATTTTTTCATTTAAGTTTACTAATAAATAAGATATTGAAAAAGGCAAAATGCCTTTTATGTTAGATTTTCCCTTTACTTCTTTTGGAGTATGGAGAGGATAAATCTCCACATCTTTTGCGATTGGAAAGTGTATTGGAATCAGATTGAAAATCTCAATAAGACATCTTGATCTAAGCCGTCAAAGTCATTTAGTTGCTTTGATGATTTTTGCTGTAGGTTTGATATATTTTTCAAGAAGAGAGGAAATAAATATAGAAAAAATAAAATAAGTAACAAAGAGAAAACCACAAAAACTAATTAATTAGGTGGTTGAACAAAAAATATTATAATATTTTATGCCATGTATCATGTCTTCGGCCTTTAAATTGACGTCATCCTATAATTACAACTTTCAAAGTAATTTCTAATCCAAGAACAAATATTTGCAAAGAATATAGCGTAATACATTTTTCTTTTCAAGAACAAAAGCTTGATGTAAAACACATTTGAAAAGTTTAAAATACTAAAATAGCCCATGAACTTTATAACTTTATTTATATAAGTTTTTATATTTTTATTGCACTTAAATAAGTCCCTAACATTTACTTTGCACGCAAATAAACCCTTAAACTTTAATTTGTATCAAAATAAGCCCTTAACATATCATTCAATCTTTTGTTTGAAATAAGGGTATGTTTGAATGCAAATCAAAGAATATGGGCTTGTTTTGGTAAAATAAAAGTATATAGATTTATTAAAATAAAGTGATAAAGTTTAGGATTCTTTTAGTTTTTTAACCTTTAAAAATTTTCTTTTCTTTTAAGGCAAGAATGCTAATATTATGTTAAGTTTAAGGAAGAATTTTTTTTCTTTGAATATCAATCAGACTTATATTTTTAAGTTGCTTTCTTTTTTTCCCTCATCTCTTGCACGCTGTTGACTTGAAAGTTGGAAAGGGTCTTAGAGTCCTACCTTTGTTGCCCCTAAATCGTTCTTTATGTAACAGATCATTTTCGTTTCCAAATCAGCCATCCATGCAACTTTCCAGCAGACAATTAGTCATCCTACAAAAAAAACACATTATTATATATAAATACATGGAGTATAAGTAAAAAGCAAATGTTATATTATCCATCTCTATACTCATGCTTATTTCAAAATCATACTTATCTTCATTTGAAATTTAATAGTCATACTCATTTCTATTTAAGAAAAAAATCTACTTTTTCATCAAATATTAATAAAATTATTATCAATAGACTTAGATTGAGACAAACACAGTTGTCAAATTCAAAACTAAAGCTCTTACTTGGCTTTCCTATTTAGGCTAGGATTGTTTTTAAAATATAAAAAATGTTTAAAAATTAAAATATAATTAAAATATTTTTTGTTATTATAAAATATTATTGCTATTCTAATTTTTTTAGATTAGAAATATTTATTAAAACTTTTTGTCATTTAAAAATTGAAAATGGTCTAAAAATAAAAATAAGTTTGAGGAATGAAATATCAAAATTTCCTTATGATAATTTTTTTTAATTAAGGAAAAAGTTTCAATTTTTCTTTAAGGTATGGTTTTTTTTTTTTTAAATTAAGAAAAAAGTTGAAATATCAAAATTCTCTTAAGATAAAATTTTGAACGATTAGGAAAAAAAATTCAAATGTCAATTTTTTTCTAAAATTTTGAAAAGATAAAATTAAAATTTGAAAATTCCAGTGATGGAATTACTAAAAATTTGTAATTTCTATGTAAATTTTTTAGTGATGATATACTCTTAAATTTTTATCAAAATATTAGAGTAATTTAAGAGTACTTTCTAATATCAAAGATTCCAATTAAAATTGAAGTTTTGCCGAAGTTTTTAAGTTCGACGACAGAGTCCTTTTAAGAGAAAAAAATCATTTTCTTAAATACTTTTGAAGTGAGAAAATATTTTTAAATTTTTGTCAAAATATTAAAGCCATTTAAGAATAATTTATAATACTAAATTATTTTGAGATTTTTATGTTTTTTAGGCTAAATGAATAACATGAAAACTACCTAGTACCATCATTTGCATGAGTGTTGTAAGGGTATTATAATCTTTCTTACAGATAACCATACTCCCAAACCTAATTTGGTTTCATAAACTAGAGTCTACTCTTTTAAGAAACTTGAGGTAAGCTTAGGATCTTTTTAAAAAGGGGACAAATTCAGTGAGATGACCAATTGTATATAAACAAAAAAGATTAGTGACGACTCCATGTCTTATGTCTAATGATCAACTCTACAAACTTATATGTTATGATAACTTGTTGACCATTTTTTTAAAATTTTAAATTGAATCAATTTAAAAATTAATGATAAATGTGATGTGTGTTCATAAATGGAATGATAAATTTTAACTTTATCCATTTTTAAAGTAAGATGTACATGTAAGCTAAGCTCTATACACATGTTTTTTGTTAGATGTAAATATTATAGAGTTGACATGTATCTTTCATAACCAAAAGAACCTGGCAATTACAACTGTTACAATCAAAATAGTCAAAGCAATTTTGTTTTTACTAGTTTTACAAAATGATAATTCTTTTCTAATAAATATTTTTTTTATCATAATGGATGTCATTTAT